TCTATCCCAACTACATAGTTGGTCCAATAAATGCTATCACCCTAAGATATACTTGTCTCTCTCATCATTTCTGGACCATCATGGCCCCATAATTATTTGTCTTTAATCTTCACAGTTAGCATTTCCTGAGGGAGGCCTCAAATCTAAAAAGGTTGAGAACCACTGCTCCAGGCACAATGCAGGAAGGTAACTAGGAAAGAAAAGAAGCCAGAGGTAGTTAGCCAAGTTAGTCTGAAGGCAGGGGAGAGATGTACCTTTAGAGCACCTATACACATCTGTTTACTAATTAGTGCTAATTAGTATTCATTAGAACAGACTTGATTGAGTCTGCTGGAGCAGTTACTTAATGCACTCCAGCAGTTTCTATATCATGTCTATTCATTGTGCCCATGCCTCAAAATGGCAGTGGGGGTGCTTGAACTAAAGCTTGTTTGACCACTTTGAGTGCAGCACACTGAAGACACGTGACACTGTGGGCGTCTTAATTAGAGTGCCTCATGTCCTGGAGCTCCTCTAATTAAAGCACACACCCCCTTCACCAGAGGAGCAAGTGTATAATTCCCTTACAGACTAACTAAGGGCCTGGTTACATGTTGCACTTTGAGCTATTTAAATGTTGATCAGTGTTAATAGTAGCTTGAGTTTGAAGCAGTCACATCTTCAGGCTAAAAGCCTTCTCTGACTGTCCCCCACCTGCAAAGCTGTGACTTGCCACTAGAGGGCTGGCAAACAGGGGCCTGACTAAAGAGGTACAGCTGAGAGTTGCCAGGACAGGGTTGGTGAGCGGAGGTGGGGGTGAGATAAGTTGGAATGGGGCAGGAACATGAAGTTGCAAGATGGAGAGTTAATGGGATGGGGGTGCATAATGAAATGGGGAGTGGAAAGGAAAAGGAGGAGGAAATGAAGGAAGTCACACTAAAGGATAAAATAAAAAGGTAAAACAATTAAAAAGAAAAAAGTAAATTAAAGAAGGTCTCGTGTTTTAATGAATTGGGAATTGAGATTGGAGTGTGGAGGGTGCTGGTGATAATTCCTGGGGTGGCTGGGAGGTGGGAGCCATGAGTGAAGGGGCTTTTGGGGGGAGCTACTACCCCTGCCCTGGGAAGGAAGCTCCAGGTCATGGGGGCCCAATCCAGCTCCCTAAATTGTTCCCTTCCCAACCCTCCTAGACCCTACAGCTGGGCCCGTTTGTGCCCTGTGACCTGGTTAACTGGCAATGTGCTCTGCAGGCTGTTTGCATGGAGTTGCACCCATGGGGGTGAGAAGATTACAGCCATGGGGGCAGTAGGAACAGTTGCCTTGATGCCAGGACTGCACCCCATGTGCAGCAGGATTCAGCGGGTGGCAAGTTTGTCCACATAGACCAGAAAGAGGCGGCGGGGGGAGGAACACAGTATCACAAGGTGCTGGAGGACGGTAACTTGGGCAGCTCGCCTATGAGGCATGGCCGCACACAAATAAAAGAGGACTTGGGAAAGGTAGGCTAAAGCTGCCTGGAGTGGTGCAACTTCAAACCTGCTTCAAAACTAGTTTCGAGTGTTCCCGTGTGAACTGTCCAGGGGCTAAAAGCTCCATAAATCATCTCACATGAACGTGTTACAATGCCCTGAGACACTAAATCAAGAGAGAGCTGATAGAATCATCCACATGGAGGGCTGGAAGAGACCTCAGGAGGTCACCTAGTCCCACCCCCTGCTCAAAGCTGGGGTCATCCCAGCGAGGCTAGGGACAGACATTACACATAAACTGGTTTAAGAGATCATAAACTGGTTTAAACCTGTAACACAACAGATGTTCAGTGCACATAACCCAGTCTGAAAATGGCTGAAACTGGTTTGAGATAAACCTGGTTGAACGTAGTATCAGACGTAGCTGATTTGGCTCAAACCAGGTTATGTAATGTCTGTCCCAGACCCTAGGGTTGCCAACCCTCCAGGATGACCCTGAAGTCTCCAGGAATTAGTTATACATCTCCAGGAGACTGCTGAGAGTAACCTGGTGGCAGTAGGGGTGGGGGATAAATGATAGGGCATTCATGACAATAAATATTAAATGTTGAATCCAATTTATATAGGAGTCCAATGGGCTTTTAAAATGTAATAGTAATGTGCACAGGCAGGCAAAGTTCTTTGAGCAGATGTCATATCTTTTATTAAACCAACTGAGTAGTTGGAAAAAAGTACAGGTTTCCCTCGCCAACCACCGTTTTGAGTATCCACACTTCAGTGAAGCGGGGTACAGTTTGAAAATACCCCCCATGGCACCCCTGGCCCTGCTTGTGCCTCCCATTCCCTCTCGACAACCCCCACAGCCTTGCTGGTGCCCCTCACCCCTCACCTACAGCCCCTGCTCCCCCAGCTCTCCTAGTTTTGCCAACCACGGTTTTGCTACCCCTGGGAACTTTCAGGAACCTAACCCCCATGGTTGGCAAGGGGAACCTGTAGATGTGATATCTTTTATTAGACTAACTACTCTGTTGGTCTAATAAAAGATATCACTACAGTGGCCATCATAGAGGACTTGTCCTCTGTCCTCTATTGATATGAAACTGGACACCATTATGTCTGGTTTCGTATCAATAGGCATCCAGTTTTGTATCAGTAGAGGACAGAGTAGCAGAAAACCGGGATGTCCTCAATGATGGTCACCCTATCACGTGTACTCAAAGAACCTTGCCTGTGTCCTTAGACCAACCCAGCTACAACCAAAAAACCACAGTAATGTGCATTCGCTTTCCTGAGGTAACGACTCATTAATGTCATTACATCACGTGATAAACCTCCCCGTGGGACAGATCCAAACAAGAGTTGGCAACTCCCTATCCCAGCCACTGCTTTGTATACCTGAGTCTTACAAGCCTCCAAGGATGGAGACCCCACCACCTCTCTGGGCAGCCTCTTCCCAGTGCTTTCCTCCCCTCCCAGGT